CCAGATCCCTGCATCCCCGCCCTCCCTCCCCCTATAGGGGCCACCTGTGGGAAGAGGGCTGTGCCTGAGACAGAAAATTCCTGACCCCTCCTCCCTGGGAAGGACCCAGCCAAGGCCCAGCCACATTGACTCTACATCCCAGACATATTTATTAGGAGGGTGCTGCTTGGACACAGGTGGATCCTGTTTGCGCTAATTCTCCTCTTCCTTCTGGCCCTGCTGTCGTCATGAAAGAGCTCTGACCCCCTCCTCATAAATCTCTCTCACACACCACTTCCCGCCTCCCCAAACTTGGGATTTCCCACCCCAGGCAGCGCTTGTTTTATAATATTCTCCTTCCTGGTGCCTCTGATGTGGCAGTAAAATACGAGACCACCCACAGAGAAGGAAGCTTCCTGGAATCAAGAGTTTCCCCCACCCCCTTCCCAAGGCCAAGGCCTTGAGTGATTGGCTGGGATAGTCAGGGAACTCATTATGAGAATAAACATATTAGGGCATTGGGAAGAGGTCTGCATTAGAGAGACCGCCTTTGGGCACAGTGAGGCCGTCCGTTTTGCCTGAGGTCAAACAGCCAGGCAATTACAAAGGCGGCAACCCCAGCCCCCAAGGCATCTAAAATTCCAGACCATCCCTACCCTTCCCTCTGCCAGACAGGACTGTTCAGAGGCAGCTCAAGCCTGAATGAGCCCCCGGCAAGGAGGCAGCAGTCTGTGTGGCCTGTCAGGAGACAGACTTCTGACTCCCAGCCAGGCAGGGGGATGGACTGCCTGACCCTAAGCTTCAGCCTGAGTCCATCTGCCAGGCTCTGCAGTAAACATTCCAGAGATGGGCAAAACAAGTGTTTCTCCTGGGAAGGTGAGGCCTTGTGAAAGCCTGGGCTGCTTGGGTAGTATTGGTATAGTGTAAAGCGTTCTGAGTTCTGGTTAGAATAGAGTTGAGGGCTACCCATCATTCAGGGTGGACACTGTACAAGGACCCAACATCGTAATCAGTGCAGATTTGTAAGTGTATTACAACGGTGTACCAGTAGATGACAGTAAAGTGTCTCGAGGACAGGATACGCTACAGCTTATCCCTGGAAGACATTATTCATTTACCCAGTGAGCAAACATTTGTTAAACATGTGCCTTGTGCCCTGGCACTTTGTGCCAGATACTGGATTCAGTGAGCATTGAGACACAGTTTCAGGTTCCCAGGAGCTCTCAGACTAAGTGTACGGGGGCAAGGTAGAGACAAACACCGTGTGATTACATCAGGGAGTGATATGTGCTTTAATGGTTGTTAGTATAGAATGTGAGAACCCCAAGGAGGAACACCTAACCCAGCGTCCTTGGGGGGGCACTTTCAAGGAAAACTTGATAAAGAAGGTGAGTGAAGATCTTGGAGGCAGCCAGGCAGTGAAGAACAAGACATCCTAAGCAGAGAGAACAGCCTGTGCAAAGGCTCAGAGGCGTAAAGTGTAGGACGAGGCTAGAGAATTGCAGGAAATTGAGTGTGTCTGTGAGGTGGGCAGAAAACCAGAGGAGAAATGGGTCAAGGTCAGCAGGATCCAGATCATGAAGGACACAGAGGGTCTGAACTGAATCCCAAAAATCTTGAAGTTCAAGATCTAACTCACCGGTGCCACTTAGAAGTTTTATGTGTCTTTGAACAGGGACTTCTCCATCTGGAATGTGTGGGGACTGATCCCCACCCTACCTACTCTCAGGGTTGACATTAGGGTCAAATAGTAGGAGGGATGTGAAGGTACCTGCAGGCCTTATATACCAACGGCGTCAATTTATTATTATTATCAACCCCATCACTCATTGCACTGGTGGAACAGATCAAAGTGAGGTGAATCACATTTCTGTGTTGTAACTTCCGTGAGGGTAAGATTATGTTTTATTCGTGGATCCCCACCACACGACACCCACGGGCACAGAGAAAACAATAGTTCTTTGTTGTTGATTCTGTTTTAGGCCCTGGGCTGTGTACTTTGGAGCTTACTATCTATGTGCAGGAACTGTTCTGAGTGCTTTATACATCTTACCTTGGTTAATCTTTACAACAACCCTGTGAGTTAGTTACTAGCATCAACCCCACTTCCCAAATGTGGACACTGAAGCACATGGAGGTTGAGTGATTTACCCAAGGTTGCACAGTGAGTGGTAGAGCTGGGATTGCATCCATGTGGTTGCCCTAAGTCTACTATATTCTACTGCCTTGTTGCATACAGGATCAGGTGAATTTATAACTACAGCCTTGGCTGTAGATGTTATCACCCTTGACAAATGAGAAAACCATGACCTAGAGGAGTTAAGTACCTTGGCTTAGAACATGGGGTAAGTGAGCTGTAGAGCTCAAATTTTGCCCAAGCCATGCTTTTTCCAGTGTACTAGTGATTGTTCTCATTAGTCACCCTTCTGAGGTCCCAGGCCCATCTAATACTTCTTTTAAACCCAAGCTAGAGGGAACCTTGCCCTAACTCTGACTCCAGCCCTTACTAGCTGTACCCTTTCTGATGGCAAAGGAGGGCCCTGCAAATTGTACCCTTAGACCATGCACTGGATACATAGAACCCTAGAATTCCCTGCCCAAAGGGACCCTGGCCCAATTCCATGCCCTGTGTAGGCCAGTTCCCTGTCCATCCTCCCAAGGCATAGCCAAGGGAGAACTATTGACAGGGGCACGAGTGAAGAAATGAAGCATGGCAATGGGCTCGGCCATCCATGAGCCTGCACAAGAATCCTGGGTGGTGCAGGACAGAGAGGAGGGTGGGAAGAGAATTAGGGAGGACTGTAGGGACCAAGACGTGGCAATCCACATGTTGCCTTATTCTGGGTAGAACTCTAAGAATTCCAAGAAGTCTAAATTCTGAACCTTCCAGGTTATTATGAAGTTATATTTGTCAAGGAAGGAAGACAGACATGTTTTATTTAAATGTTTGCTGGCTTTATTTATCGATTAAAAATATTATACATATGATACATAAGCCTCCATTTGTTCTTTTGCCCCAGGCCTCACAAATATTAGAGGTGGACTTATCCCAGTGTCTGTAGTTTGCTGACACTACCTTTAAAGATTTGTGATAAAATTCACAAACTATGTGGAAAAGTCCCCTTTGCATGAGCCTCACTGCACATGTTTTATCAAACACCATGCCTGGAAGAAAAAGCAGGTCTTCCTTTCAAGTCACAGTAACAGCTCCTATCCCACTAAAGTTTTGCTTAGTTGACAGCTAAGCCTGCGAACATTGTAAGAAAAAGTAATATTAATATTAGAGCTATCAGTCAGTGATTTGGGAAGTCTTGGAAAGAGATGAACTCCACTGGCATCAGCTAAGTGTAGATAGAGACTCTTTGGAAGCAGACAGACTGAAGCTTGGTCAGAGAATTTGTAGAAAGGATTCTTTCTTTCGTAAATGGCAGGTTAAAAAAATAGATGGCAACATGGATGTTCCAGGAAGAAGAATAGAAGAAGAAACTGAGAGGATTCTTGGATGTACTACTTACAAATTATTGACTAGAACTCAATCAAGTGGCCACATCTAGCTGAATGGAGAGTTGGGATCTTCATTCTTTTGTGTGTGTGTGCCAATCTGTAAACTTTCTTACTGTGGTGAAGAGGAGAATGGGTATTGGAACAAAGAGCCATCTCTACCCCAGAAAAGTTTATGTAAATGCTTAACACGGTGCTCAGTTTACAGCAAGTGACTGAGAACTGTTAGTTTCTTCATACCCAAATCCAAAAGAGCAAATGGAAACTTGTATTACTTTTGCCTTGTGTGTGAGAGGACATCTAAACCCAAAGTACCCCAACATTTGCTGCTATTTTTCAGGGGTGAGCAAAAACATAGAAGTGGAATTAGAAAGCCGGATTCAAGTCCCTTAGGCAAAATATTTCATCTCTCTGGGTTTCAGTTTTCTCTTTTATAGAATGGAAATAATAATGCCTTCTTCATGGTGGTGGTTGGAAGCATTAAATGAGAAAGGCTATATAGGTTAAAGCCTACAGCACAGTTTCTGGCATAGGGTAAATACTCAACAAGTGGGTTTTTTCCCATCTATCTCTTCACTCATTTACTCATTCAACATATATTAATTGAGCTCCTAATGTGTGTTAAGTACTCTGGTAGGTGTTGGGAGTATTTGTTCCTTACTTCAAGGAGCTGTGTTATAGTTTAGTGAGACACGGGCATTAAATGCAGTTACTGATTATAACTAATTATAATTGTAATAAGTACTATGAAAGAAGAGTATGAAAAAGAATCTATATGAGAAGAGAGATGAGGGGGCCAAGATTAGGGTGCTTACAGAGAAAAATTGGCAAGTGGATGGATTTGGGAAATAGTTAGAATGTAGAATCAGTGGGATAGGGAGGGAGAAAGAGATAACAAGAATGATGTCTATGTTTCCGCCTTGAGCAATGGGTAGATGGGATGCCATTTACTGAGAAGATAGAAGTAGGGGTACAGAGGAAAGATGATGAAAGGAAGGATGGATGGATGGATGGATGGATGAACAGATGGACGGACGGATGGATGGATAAAGAGATAGATGAGGGCTGCTTCCTTGGACAGATGGACAAATGGAGGAATGGGTAGATGGGTAGATAATTTATGGAGTATATAGAGTGTAACTATAAATAATAAAAAATAATTCTGCATTATTTATTTATGTAAGATTCCTTGTCTCATTTGATCCTTAAAATAATACTTAGAAATATGTCATGCAGCTATTAATATCTTCCTTTTACAGATTATAAAATTGAGACACAGGGAGGTCGAGCCACTTGGTAGAACCAGAACCTGAGTCTCCAATCTTCCCATCCAGTATTCTTTCCCCTCGCACACAGTACATACAAATAATGAGAAAATCATCAGTCAAGGTGGGAGGAGAGAGCATGAAGTTACAAATGTGTCTGACATGCACCTCTGGGGGCAAGGCCTTTGGGAGAAGGAAGAAAACAGTAAAGCAGTGTGCACCCTTACTCAGGAGCTCTCTTCCTTTCTTTCACAGGACCAAGTATTTTCATGGAAAGAAGGTGAATGGAGAAATTGAGATCCGAGTGGAGCAGGTAGGTTGGAGCTGGGTCTTCCGTGCTATCACCCTGATATTTTCCACAGCTAGAGCCATTCCCAGGAGCAGCCTTGATCCTCATCTTATGAGGCTACCATGAGCCAAGATTATCAGAAAATCCTGGCTTATAACTGGGAGTTTTATTAAATCCAGAATTATTTAGTTTAATGGTTTTTGTTTTAGCAGCAGAACCTTTCTTCAAAGGAAATCTCAAGTAGGAGCCCATTGTACAAAATAGAGAAAAGTAGAGAAAAGGAAACTAATGAAATGGACATGGGGAACCCCAAAATCTGTCTGCTCCATTCTGTTCTACCTTCTCCCCATTTCCCCCATAGCCCCCAAGCCATCTCCTTGGAACTACTTGGGCTAGGCAGCACAGTGGGTTTGAATCCTGGCTCTCTCATTTAATAGGTACGGGGCAGGTGACTCAATCATTCTATGCTTCAGTTTCCTTGTATCAGTGTTGTTGGGATTAAATTATTTAAAACTTCAAATGAGACCAGAATTACGAATACTGGCTCTTGTTATTACTGCTAATATAAATAGCCAGGCACCTCAATTTATGGGGAAAGAAACACGGACTTGCTCAAGGCTACATAGGAAGGCAGTGGCAGAATGAGGACTAGAACCTGTGACCTCCAGATCTAGGGCTTCTCCCATTCATTCAGTGAACACTTGTTGGGGACCTACTAAATGCCAAGCATGGTGCTCAGCCTTAGGAGAGCACATCAAAGCTTGGGCTCTGGAACCAGACTTCAGGTCTGAATCCCACTGCCACTCCTTACTAACTGTGTGACTTTGATTGAGCAGTACTAAGCTCTTTGCAACTCAGTTTCTTCATCTGTACAATTGGGTAATAATAGCATCAATTTCATAGGGTGACTATGAGGATCAAATGAGTTAGTCTCCAAGTACTTGGAACAGTGCCTGGCACATACCAGGCACTTAGTAAATGTTACTCATTTATCATCATCATCATCATCAAAGACAAAGAGTTAATAAGATAGACAAGGTCCCTACTATAAGATGAACTCAGAAAAGTGCAGTAAGAAAATAGGGGGTGTGACTTTTTTAGTATTCTTTGAGTTTGGTGTGTTGGAGGAACAGAAAGCCTTTCTGAGCATCCAATTTGAGTTGGCTTAGTATTAAAACACCTTAAACTTGAATTTCAGTTTGATCCTGTGGCTTTCAAGTCAGTCCAATGTCTACTGGTTTTCCTTCCATGGCAAAGAGTACGTTATTTTTGTTCACTTAACAAATATTTGTCAAACATCTACCATGCTAACTCACTAACATGTGGGGAAGGAGGATATAGAAGCAGAGGCTCTGTCTCAATAAGTTTGTGGTCTAGGAAGGGAGGCAAGATAAGTCTTCACAGAACCTCAGTACAGGTGGAGTCCAGAAAAGAGAGGTCCAAACTCAGTGCTAAGGGCAACAGAAGCCACCACTAATTGGGGGAGTGAGAATGGCTCCAAGTGGGGGGGGTGGTATTTGGAGGGCGTCTTGAAGGATGGGTAGGATTTCAACAAGTGGATGTGGCAACATGAAGAGTAATGAGATGGAAGCAGTGTGAGCAAAGGTAAGGGGGCTAGAAGGGGTGTGGAATGGTGGGAGTCCAGTTTGGTTGAGTCCAAAATAGGACACATCATCTTCCCCTAGCCCCAACCTACTTGTCCTCCCAAGTTCCCTCTCAATAAAGAGTGACACCCTCTACCTTCCATGTTAGCTAGAAACCTGCGCAGGCTCCCTGCTGCCTCCCCTCCCTCCACCACTACACCCATTCAGCTAGTTGACTCCACATCCCATGTCTCCAGTCCATCCACCTCTCTCCATCTTTATTGCCTAGAGCCTTGGCTGGACCATCATTAGCTCTCATCCAATCTTCCTAACTCTATCTTTTTTACCCACTTCCAGATTATTTTTGCTACTAACACTGGAGTGATCTTTCTAAAAAAGCGTATAGTTTCTTTAAAGTGTTAGCTTTTTAAAAAAAAAAAAAAGTTTATTTTTTTGAGAGAGAGAGAGAGCATGAGCTGGGGGGAGGGGCAGAGGGAGAGGGAGAAACAGACTCCCCACTGACCCAGGGGTTCGACACAGGGCTCAATCCCAGGATCCTGAGATCATGACCCCAGCCGAAGGCAGACAACCAACTGAGCCACCCAGGAGCCCCTAAAGTGTTAACTTTTATTTATTTTTTTATTTTTTTTTTTTAAGATTTTATTTGTCAGAAGATAGAGACCAGCACAAGCAGGGGGAGCAGCAGGCAGAGGGGAAGCAAGCTCCTTGCTGAGCAAGGAGCCCCAAGTGGGATTTGATCCCAGGACCCTGGGATCATGACCTTAGCCGAAGGCAGACGCTTAACCGACTGAGCCACCCAGGCATCCCAAAGTGTTAGCTTTTAAATCCCTTCCTCAAAGACTCCTCCTTTCACACCTTGATCTAATCAGCTAACCTGGTTATTCCTTATCATAACACTGAACTTGTCCTTCCCCGCCCTTATCCGTATATATAGGTGTGGGATTATTTGCATGAGCATAGAGGCCATGGCTATTTGGATCTCACTTTGTTAAGTAGCACAGGACCAGAACTAAAGAAATACTTGCAGAATGAATAACTGATAGATTCTACAGATTCCAGGCTGCTTGTCAGTTTCCAAGGGAGATAAATTACTGCTTCTTAATCCCCCTCAAAAATCTGGTTTTTCCATAAACCATCTGGTAAGTGCTCAGTTGCCAATTTAGCTAGCCCTATCTTATCCCATTTGTGAAAACCCCAGAGGCATGTTTTAATTTTACCCATTTATCTCAGTGATGCCCCTGGTCCATCTTATGGGTATAAAATCTATAGGGCATCATCAGGAAGTGCCCTAAGAATAACTCACCCAGGGGCTCTGGAAACGCTCAGCCAATCTATGAAGGCTGCAATCATATTGGAAAACATTGGCTAATTTAGAGTCATCCTGATTTCGAGCCATCCGCCTTCATAGAAGCCAGAAGGCAAATTAGCCAGGAGACCAAATAGCAGGTCATTTGGGCATTTTTCCCTGAAAGACATGCCTTCCTAAACCCATCTTAGAATCTGAATTGTTTGCCTTTATCCATGTGGATGAATGGGCGGGTCACAAAGCAACCCCCCAGGAATCTCACGTGTATTCTCTCACACTTGGGAAAAGTCTTAGGATGGAAGCCACTGTTTAGTCTGAGCTGGTCTCACATTTTGGAAGTCTGTCTCCCAACTAAGGGCCAAATTAACCAGATAATTGCACTGTCTGGGTTTTGCTGGACAGAGCAAATGAGTTAGTTGTGGTTGGCCTAGAGGAAGCCTCCGCCCCTTCTCTCCACCCTCTTCCCCCCAAGTTCAAAAACTGTTTGCCTCAGCTGTTGCAGAGCCAGGAATCAAGAAACCCTGGGGAGGCCGGGGAGATGAGGGGGGTGGGGACTGCCTCATGTTGCATTCCATTACCCAGAATGCCCTATTGGCTCTGTGGGGCCTCACAGCAGTGTCCTTGAAGGGTCTGAGACGTTCCGGCCAGGGTGGTTGGCATGTCAAGCTCTCCTCTATTTATATTTGAGGCAAAAGTTCTTTTTCTCCACAGGTACAAGTCACCCCTCTGTGGGACTAAGCAATGAGTTTGATGCATGGATTAATCTCAAATAGACTCAGTTCTGAGAAATGAGCAGACTAGGACTTGGTAGGACAGAGCCTTGGGCTTCTTTCCTCTCTGATAAAAAAGGCTGCAATTACAATGGTCAGTCTTTCCTCAGTGATAATAGAGGTACCAAGGCATAAGCAATGGCAATGCCTTGCTCTAACAGATGGAGAGAAAGACAAGGCAAGGTGAAGAATCTGCTCTTGACTCCAATGAAGGAAGCTGGACAAGCCGCAGGTTTGCGTATGAAGGCCAGTGGCTCCCTTCGAGTCCTGCCCTCCTGTGATACTGGAGTAGGATGGGGTTAGGTAGATGTGTGTGTATCCCTGGAAAGGCTCTTGATTCAAGTGCTGTTCATCTTCTGCTCTTTAATGTTTCGTCAACTCAAATGTCTTAGGGAAGCAAAGGTGGGATTTTTCCCTTAAAATAGTTTAAACACTCTTTCCATAGTCTGGCTATTATGGACATTGCTGCTATATAAACATTGGGGTGCAGGTCCCCCTTTGGATCACTACATTTGTATCGTTGGAATAAAAACCTAGTAGTACAATTGAATGGGAAGAAATCAGAGAGGGAGACAAACCATGAGAGACTCTTCACCATAGGAAACAAACTAAGGGTTGTTGGAGGGGTGATGGTTGGGGGGATGGGGTAACTGGGTGATGCGCATTAAGGAGAGCACGTGATGTGATGAGCACTGGGTGTTATATGCAACTGATGAATTACTGAACTCTACACCTGAAACTAATGATGTACTATATGTTGGCCAATTGAATTTAAATAAAAAATAAATAGTTTAAACACTTAAGACCATGAAGTATATATTTTGCATACCCACTTCAGCCTTCCATCCACAGTTCTTTATGGGTCAACCTTTCTTAGAATGAATCTTTGCTGTAGATATTATATTGACCATAAAGACCATGTGGTATTTCAAGAAATAGTTGCCAATAAGATAGAAAAATGGAGGCTGGATGTTAATTCAGATCGGTGGATTGGTAACAGGTTGAACATTACCCCCACTAGGAAATGATATAGAGATACACCTTGAGAGAAATAAATGTAATGGCAGAGCCCTTGGCTTTATTCTTTTCCTTAATAGAGACTTGTCAAATTATGTTTGCTGATGACTTGAAGCTGAATGAGAGAGAGAATATGCTACATTAAATCTGAAACAATCAAATTGAAGGGGGATACAATATAAGGCCCTATGGAAAAACTCAGCTGAAGAGGAGCAAGATTAGGGAGACTTAGTTTTTTAAAATCACATGGGGAAAGAAAAGACCTAAGATTTGAACAAATTCTTAATATTTGTGGAGGAAGTCTAGTGTGGAGGTTAAGATTGTGGC